CAAGTGAGGTTTCTGTAAAAATCTTTATTACAGATCAAAGCAAAAGACAATGCATGAAAAATGTGTTTCTTCCTCATTTTTCCCTCAAAGTTCTCTCTATGAGATCCCAGTTCTCCGCGCGCAATAGCACTTGATCTCGGCGGGAGGAAACGGACGACAGGAAAATGGCCATCCACGCCGCAGGTCTAGTGGCTATCGTGATCTTTTACCTCCTGATTCTGTTCGTGGGGATCTGGGCCGCCTGGAAGAACAAGAACTCCGGTGTTGGCGTAGACCGGAGCGAGAGCATCATGGTCGGGGGGAGGGACATCGGATTGTTCGTTGGTGGATTCACAATGACGGGTGAGTTGGTTAACTACGGGCTTAACTACTACACCTATTTATTAGTAGGTGTTCAACATGACCCGCGTCACATATGGGTGTCATCTAAATTCAGAAAGAAACACCCCCTTTTTAGCACGGACAGCACTAGGGGCCCATAAATATAATTTACCACCACAACTTTCAACATTACATGCATCACATTTCTGACTACTTAAAGATGCAACAACAGCGAGCTAAGGTTTTGTGAATCCTTTTCCTTCCCCAATACACAACCATGACTACCAAAACTAGAGTTCTTGTTATTTGAATAAACTTGTGCAACATTACATGCTCCAAACCTAGTCTTTGGTCTTCTTTTTACATACTTGTGGTTTTTCTTCTTTCAGCTACTTGGGTGGGTGGGGGCTACATCAATGGGACAGCAGAGTATGTCTACCTGCCAAACTTTGGCCTGGCTTGGGCACAGGCACCCTTTGGTTATGCTCTCAGCCTGGTAGTAGGTAAGAACCAATGTTTTTAATAGTTATTTCTTTAATTATACTGTAAAGTGTGTGTGTGTGTGTGTGTGTGTGTGTGTGTAAAGTATAGTGCAAAGCACCCTATACAGTATGAAAGCAGCAGTTGCTGCAAATTAACATTATTGAGGTTCCTCTATGTTTATACTGTCCTGTGGTGCATGAGCAGGGAGTATGATGTAGTAGTTTAGCAAAAAATAACATTGGTATGGTCCTCTAGGAAATACAGAATAATCGTACATATAAACAGGAGTGCTATAGTGCTTCAACCAGAGATAGTTCTGCTTAAGCACCAGATACACACTTACATACAAGTTAATAATATTATACAATTTCATTGATTCAACTGAGTGTAAAATACATTTCTTACAGTGGTCTTTTGCTCTATTGTCTGTCCTACCTTAATGTCTGACATCATTCAGGTGGCCTGTTCTTTGCCAAGCCAATGCGTTCACGTGGCTACGTCACCATGCTGGATCCCTTCCAGCAGCTGTATGGGAAAAGGATGGGCGGCTTGCTCTTCATCCCCGCGCTCATGGGGGAAATCTTCTGGTCTGCCGCCATTTTATCTGCCCTTGGTGGGTAATTATTAGACAGGAGTACTTAAATGTCAAAAAATGTGTCCTTTTGTCATCATGAGCACCGTATTAACTGTTACATTCAGTGCACTTTTCTCTTAACTCTCACGATTGTATCTGAGGGACCGAATGTGTTGTCCTATAGGTGCCACTCTCAGTGTGATTGTGGACATAAACATCAACATGTCCGTGGTGATCTCAGCCCTGATAGCTATCTTCTACACACTTGTTGGAGGACTCTATTCTGTTGCATACACAGATGTGGTTCAGCTCTTCTGTATCTTTTTGGGCTTGGTGAGTTTCACTATCAACATGCAGCATGGGACTCTAGAGATGACAAAGAAGGCCAAAACCATTACCTGTATTTTGCTAGCTGAAAATGTGAAGCTGTCAATAGACAGTATTTTATACTCATCTTTGAGGTGTCGACAATTTTCTTATCCACCTTTTCCAAAAGACAGCATGCATCCATTTATACTTGTGGAATTGGATCAAAATGCTGATTAAAATGTATTAATTATGCAAAAAAAGTATCATATTCTTCATATCAGAGATGGGTAACAATGGCAGGAACATACTGATTTACACCTAAAGACACCAGGCTACAGTATACTTTTAAAATGATATTGAATTTTTTGGAACTACAAGTAGAACTTGGATCCAGTGTCAGAGTCAACAGCTTTGACAATGGAAACATTAAAATCACTAAATATTGTATCTATATAACATAATGATATTTGCATTCTTTCCTCTTCATCAGTGGATCAGCGTGCCTTTTGCCATGTCCAATCCTGCTGTGTCGGATATCACTGTTTCGGCCAAGGAAGTAATCTACCAGTCACCCTGGCTGGGGAAGATTGACTCTGAAGACAAATGGCTCTGGGCGGACAACTTCTGCTTGCTGGTTAGCCATATTTTTTTTACAATAAGATCCATTAAGTAATTTACACACACACATTTTGATTCCACTGTCAAGTCTTACAGGGTTTAAGTGAAGCATTCAAGGTGCTATTGAAAGATGGGGCACTAGAGGTTTTTGTTTGAGACACAGCTTGCCTTTTAAAGACTAATAATATAGTATAATTATTATTATTTAAGAAGCATTTGCACAACACATTTGTAACATTAAGAGTACGTTTCAGAGCTGTGCCAGTGCTGGTCTGTTATGCGTTGGTTTGGTGTCTGTATTTACTATGGTGTTTCTGTTTCTAGATGTTGGGGGGGATTCCCTGGCAGGTCTATTTTCAACGGGTTCTTTCTGCCTCTTCAGCTACCTATGCCCAGGTCCTTTCCTTCCTCGCTGCCTTCGGCTGCTTGGTCATGGCCGTCCCTTCTGTCCTCATAGGAGCTATAGGGGCCTCCACTGGTAAATACACACACTCAGACACACACATACACACACACACACACACACATGGGGCTTTGCTAGACTTAAAGCTATTTTCAGGACCCCCACAATTCCTTAGTTAGTCACTTTTATGTGGATGCTTTCAAAATATACCATAATTCAAGCTGGTCACTTCAGAACATGTAGGACTTGATTTAAAAACTGTTTGATATGTGTATTTATCTAGCTGACAGATATCACACACCTAAAACAGCAATGGCTGTGAATAGAAATGTTTTTAAAACTTTTGTTTTACACTTTAAAAAGACATTTGTATTAGAAATACCCAACCATATAAATACTAGCAATAGATTTAGCACTACTGCATGTCATTTACATCTGGATTAGATGTAAATTACACAAAAATGACCAGCAATGTCACCCAATATTTTTATTCTAGACACATACAGTTACGTCTGGACTGCAGCTTTATCACAGATAACATAAACATATCAGACACTGATCTATGAATGATGTGCACACACACAGCCACACATTAATTAAGCAATTAATGAAACATCACAAGACAATCGAAACATCCAGGAATCTGATCCTTTATTCAAACAGGAAAGTGTGATCAAAGGGAACACGATGCCTTCCTGGGTTGTTTACACCCCAGCAGCTTTTTATTCAGACGTGTAAATGCGGATGCATACAGTATCTGGAGGGTAAACAACATCAGATGGATACTGTCACGACGGGCAGAGGAGAGAGCCATCAGACCATGCCGATTCTGTGAATATTACATCTGAAGAGGAGCTAATTAATCTGCTCCGTCTGAAGTTGTTTCATGTATAACCGGCGCTAATCAACAACTGCTTGAGAACATCCAGGGGAGGGAGAGAAAGGCAAAGATTGTATACCACTGGAGGTAGAGAGAAGGATGAAAAAAGTGTCAGATGTCAGAGGGTTCAAGGGGGAAAGAGAGCAAATGTCCCAGTGAATGGAAGTACAGTATGTGGACCATAGTGGTGTGGCGAATGGGTGGAGTTTGATCTATATGAAGGGCAGGAGAACATATTTGCTATAGAGGCAGCTAGAGACACTCGTGGTTCCCAGGCAATGAATCCTACTGACTTTGGAGATCACCTGACTTTTCCCTCTAGCGCCACCGTGAGGTTTACATTTGTTGTTTGGGGTGAAATGGCAACAACTATTGGAAGTTCCCCTCAGTGTGGATTATAAACACTTTGGTGACCCCTTAACTTATCATCTAGTGGCACCATCAGGCCAAAACGTTATCTAATACTGAATGACCATCAGCCTCAGCTTTAATGGCCTAAGTGCTTATTAGCTAATGTTAGCGTGTATCACACTAAACTATGGTCATGTGAAAATGGTAAATATTATGCTGTACATGCTAAAAATCATTGTGTTAGCAGTGTCACTGAACGTGTTACCCTGCTCATGTTAGCATTTAACTCAAAGCAGCTCTGCGCATGTTTGTTGTTTCCCCCCTGACAAATTAACCTCCATGCAAACGTCTGTATTAAATTAGCTTAAAATTTCTTATCCGAATCAATGGCTTCTCGCATACATTAACATTTTTACATTTTAGCTGACACAAGCGACTGACAATTGCTAATTATGTCAGAGGTCGCATGCCTCTGGAGCAACTAGGGGTTAAGTGTCTTGCTCACATGGAGAATCAAACCCGGGTCTCTCACACAAAAGGCAGGCGTCTTATCAACTGCGTCACCACAACCCACATTAAATATTATTAATTATATTTATATACAAATTTACAATAAAATGTAATTTTACTTGGGACCAATGACCCTATATGCACAAACCAGTGTATCAACCATAATTATTATTACATAGATGTCCCATGTTTAATAAGTATCCATTATTTCTGGCATTCCTCATATTACTGAGGCTTTTTCCCTGTATTTTGACTAACAGCAGAGCATTACATTGATAATCTCTGCTGTATTTCAGCACACAGTGAAGCCTTTAGTTTCTCGGCAACTAAAACAGGCGTATCCACAGGGAGCATTATAAAAGTC